GGGGCTGGAATTCTAAAGCATGCCTCCCTTGGTATCACTGGGGATTGGATCCAAAGACCCCCATGGGTACCAAAAATCCATGGATGCTCAAGCTCCTTATATAAAATGGCAGTTATTTGCACATAGCCTCCCCACATCTCTCATAGACTTTAAATTATCTCTAGATGACTTTAAGATAGTGAATAAATGTCAATGCTATGTAAATAGTCATTATATTGTTTAGGGAATAAGACAAGAAAAAGGTGTGCGCATTGCAGTATATGCACAGTTTTTCTAACTGTTTTGATCTGTGGTTGGTTGCATATGGTACAAGGATCAGAGCCTGTGAATATGGATGGCTGACCACAGTTTTCCGTGTTTGCTAATCATGTCTTCTGCTGAATTTTTGGGAGAGTTTTCAAGAACTAGAGAGCCTAACTGAGTCTGGGAATTTTGCATAGAATTGGATAAACAAAGTTATGCAGTGTCCAGAAGGAGAAAGCCAGGAGCCCTGGGTTAAATGTTCCATATCTGTCTTCCCGAATAGTGTAGAAACTGTGGATGAGTCATTTCGGAGGGCTAGGGCTCCTTTCTCCAACATCTAAAACATTTGTTATGAATCTCCTTCTTAGGGGCAGGGATATCTGTGAGATGAGTGAGATTATTTCTGTAAATCCTTGGGATGGCTTGTATTATATACATCTTATTTAAGAAACCAAATATATAAAAATTCAGTGCATGTTATTACTAAGGAATTTTTGGTAGTTCCCTTAGGCCTACAGCATACATAATGGGATTCAGTTTGCCCAAATTCAATTCATACTCAGCTTTCTCACAACACCAATCATATAGGGAGACTCTTAGCACATCGCCTTGCACCTCATAGGTTATCAATATTCATTCATTGATTCCTTGATCAGCAAGACAAAATGACCTGTACTGGGATGTCTTATTTTTTTAATTTTGAGACAGGGTCTCACTATGTAGCCTCGGCTGGCCTGGAGCTCCCACTCTTCCTGTCTCAGCCCCCTGAGTGCTGGGATTACAGGCAGATACCATCCTGCCTGACTGTACTGGGACATCTTGACATGACAGAGGATTTCCCCCAAGGGATGGAGAGCTCACCAGCCCTCTGTTCTTTTCTTCCAGTCTCCCAAATCTGCCTTCATCAGTGCTGCGAAGAAGGCCAAGCTGAGATCCAATCCAGTGAAGGTCCGATTTTCGTGAGCAGGTGGCCATTGAGAAAACAGATGCAGTAAAGTCAGCCTTGGCGTCCTTCCTCAACCCTTAGTTAGAAATCAGCTGGGTTGTTGGGGTTACACTCTGGAGCTCCTCACAGTGGATGACTTCAAAGGATTTGGAGCTGGGGATCCTGTTCTGTGAGTGAATGGGTTGTCAGTGGAGAGGAATGTGTGGCATCCAGAGAGGCCCTGGGAATTGGAAGGAGAAGAACTATGTGTAGATTCTCTCAGGATCCTCTTGGTGCAGAGAAATTTCTGTTCCCAGCACAATAGCTTATATTCAGGACAAGGGCTCCATAAACATCTTTTGGCTACTTGATAGAAACAGGAAGGAAGTAATGGTTTTCTGAAGATCCAGAGAACAAGTGGTCAGTGGAAATTGAACTCTCTTCACATGTAAGTGGTCCTGCAATTTCACAGGTTGGGCTAAAGAAGACTGTGGTGATGGGTGAGGCCACCTAGGAAAAACAATCGACTCTGCTTAAGTCACCACATTTTTATTAGGCACCTGCTGGGTTCCCATCACTACAAAGAATAAATACCTGTTCCCTGCCCCTGGATACCTGTCGGTGGTATTGGACTTACAGGTGGTTCAGACAGACAGTAGACAGTCCACTGCTGCATGGTACCATCATCTCCAGGAGCAACTAAGACTTGACAGTCTATGCCGTGCAACTGCCAATCTGGGGGACTCTGGCCAGCCCATGGTCTTTCTCACTGTTTTGTGGGGTTTACAGCAGTGAGCTGTCTCTCCAGATGTGCAGATCAAAAGAAGTGGGTGGAGAGCAGAAAGAAGTATGTTCAGCAGTCATGGATGCCAGGCCAGAGTCCTCCAGAAATATCCCAGTGGGGGTAAGGGAGCTGGAGCTAACAGGCCCTTGTGTGCTTTGTAGGCAGCCGTGGGCTGGCTGTCAGGGAACCACAGCATTTATGTACTAAGGCATAGCTGCACTTGTTGAGAACGAGCAGGGAAATCAGTGGGATGCCAGGCCCCTCTATAGTTCTCTGAGGCAGAGCTGCTCAGAAGAAGGGACAGAAGATACAGGTGTCTTCCGTCTCCATTGCCTGCCTCTCGTCCCCAAACTCAGCCCATGCCCTCCTTCATCCCTGTACAAGGAAGGCTGGGAAGCCCAGAGGACTATAGGATCCCACTGACAAAGTTATCTGAATAGCTGGTGATTGGAATACATGTCAGTCCTTGAAGAAAAGGTTGAAGAAGAGGAGGTTGATGAGCAGAAAGGAGAGGGAGCAGGATGGAGACCATGCAGATCAGGGCAAAGTGCATCTGGTGGTTCAAGTCACCAAGGGGACATTTGTGTCCTGAACCCTTGAAAACCCCTCAGACATATGACTTGAACTTGGAAAGTATGGACAGGTGCATCCTATCTCAACTCCACACATTACAGAGGAATCAATCAATGCCAGGATAACCAGTGAAGAACTCTCGAGCTTCTCCTTCCTTCCCCTTCATCTCCTTTTTTTCCTTCCTTCATTCCTTTCCCTTCCACTCTCCTTCTCCACCATCTCCTTCCTCCACCATGACTCCTTCTCCATACCTCACAGCTAGGCCACAGGCAGGAAACCCCCACTGCAGTCCAACCAGAATGCAAATGCTCCAGAGCAGCTAGAACCTGTCTAGTTACTTTTGTCTCTGGGCTGGACAAGCCACCAAGCAATGGCTTGAGGCTCTTTGTGGGACAGAGTGACATCAATCTTTCCAACTCTCACTTGCACTCAGGGAATTACCTGATGACACAATATCACCCCTCCCCACTGTCAATGTGAACCATAGTGGCCTATGGGGACCTGGGGAGTCAGAGGTGACTCCAGACTGTCCTACTTCCCTTTTCCCCTTGTGTTCCAAAGGCTTTATTAAGCAGCCAGAGCAAAAATAAATTTCCATGGGCGTTCCTTGCCAACTCTATTTTTAAGCAAAATCAATTAAGTAATTATCTGAGTCCAACCCAGTGTGCTAAATAAAACCTGCCCACGCTGAGCGTCATCAGCCTGGGGAGCTGAGGCCTCTGGACTTGGCAGGAGGGAGGCATCTCAGGATCAGGGAGAGAACACCAGAGAGGCACTCCCTTCAACTTATTTGTTAATTTATTTGTTTGTTTGTTGTTTATTTGGCAGGGGACACTAGTAGCTAGGGACACAAGGGGACAGCAGGCAGGGATGCCACTGGATGCACAGCTGCCAAGGCCCATAACATGGAGCACCACACCCACAAGGTGCTGTTGTGTCTATGAGAGGTGAATCCCTATTTGGCTAGTTATGACCCAGGACTCCAGGACAAAGGGACAAGGCCCAGGGCATAACAGTCTGGGGACCACCTGGGCCTGGAGATTGTGCCTCTCACGGCGGTGACTGAGGGCAGGGTCATCATGTCCATGCTGCTGCCCTGTACCCAGTTTGTTGGGGACATCCTTGTCTCACAACCCTTTGCATCCCATCACTTCCCACTTTGGCTTGACCCAAGCCAGACTTGACTCCGGCTCCCCACCACTGTCAGCCACATCCCAGCTCAGAAGACTTGCTCCATTTTAAATGCTTTGTTCCAGATTGTTCTCATCTGAATTCTCTAATAATCCACACCTACCATTTCCTTCAAAATTCAAATCTAATGCACCTTATCTAGAAAACCTTAACCATCAGGTTTGTTTGAGTTCATATTGTGCATGCCTGCCAGGTGACCAGAACAAGAGTGTGAGGCTGGACTCGAGCCATCTACTTTTGCTGTAGCCCTTCTAGGGGCTTAGCACATGCTGAATATGGAGTAGTGGCTCAGTGAGTGCCCATAGAATGAAGGGATCTGGCCATCTGTGCAGCCTGTAAGTTCCACAGAACTGATGTTGTTGGCTCAGGGCAATGGTTGCACCCTCCTGATAAGTCTAATCATTCAACAAAGCATATATTAAGCACCTTCTGCTCATTCACTTTCGCAGCCATTTAGTGAACACCAACTGTATGTCAGGGACTCTTAAGTGTTGGGACTATAAAGATGAATAGACGTGGTCTTTGTGCTCTGCATTTACTGTTTGGTTATGAAAGACAAATACTCTTCAAAACTATTGCCAAGCATGGTGGTACATATCTATAATCCCATTTCTGGGGAGGCTGAGGCATGGGAATTGTGAGTTTGAAGCCAACCTGATCTACATAGTGAGCTTCAGACCAACCTAGCCTACATAGCAAGACCCTGACACAAAAAGTCAAAAAAAAAAAACATGTGTGGGTGTGATACACACACAGAGGTGCGTATAAATTGCTACAGGAACACATGGTATCTGATGATCTGGACCAAGGCTTTATAGAATTCATGTTTCAGCAGGATTTTGAAGGATGAATAGGAGTTTTCCAGGGAAGGAAGGAGAAAGGCAGAGGGACTGGAGTTTATTTAAATGAATTTTTATTGAGAAATTAATATGAACCACTCTATAAATAAAGATACCTCTGATCCTGGAAAACTTAGAATCATAGTCAGTACTGCCCACTCTCCAAGAGCTTTTAGAAATGTCTGGCGGTGTTTGGGATCATCTAAATGATTTTTCATGCCATTAGGCATTTAGTGTCTCTGGGTCAGAGATGCTGGGTTCTCCTACAGGAAGTGAGACAGTGCCTGAGTAATGAAGACTTATCAGAGATATGGAAGCATGAAAGAGGCAAGGGTACAAGGAATGATAAGACATGACTCTAGAGAGGTAGCAGGGGCCACATTAAAAAGGACCTAGAGGGCTAGGGATGTAGCTCCACAATAGAGTGCTTGCCTAGCTTGTGTGAGGCCCTGGGCTCAGTCCCCAACACTGAAAAATAGGGAGGAGAGTTTAGGATGCCATAAAGAGGGGAGAATGGCAGAACAAAAGCCTTGTGATGCACCTGTCAGGCAAGAAGGTATCAGAAGATAAGATGAGGTGAGTGAGGTGGATTCCAGAGAGTCCTTCCAGGAATCTTCAGGATGTATGTGGTAGCCTCAAGGGGCCAAGGACTGCTTGTAACTGCAGAGCTGTGAACCACAGCAGAGCTTCTATCCGTGATGTCAAATGAAGGATGGATTTTTGATAGGACTGAATGTCTTCTTGGGGAATTTGGTTTTGATCTCCATATGCCATTATTATTGATTTGCTTTTCCTCTGTCTCTTTGTCCTCCCATCCCTTGGGCTCTCTGTGTCCTTCACCTTCTCTCTCTTCCTTTCCACACCCTCTCTGGCTTCCCTCCTCCTTCTGAATGAGCCCACTCCTTGGCCTCTTCCTGCCTCTTCTTAGAAAATGATGAAGAAGGAAGCTCTCCTCCTCATTCCCAATGTCCTGAAGGTTTTCTTAGAAAATGGGCAGATCAAGTCATTCACATTTGATGGCCGGACCACTGTTAAGGTACGTTCAGAGTCCCCTTGCCTGGGTCAGCTCTTTGTCCTGTGTTCCTCTGTGATTGCACATGGTTGCTCACTGCTGGGGCAAGGTAGCCTTTAAGCATCCTATGCTCATCACCACAAGGCTGCAAAAATGCACAGTGCTCACACGAGGCTGCTGGGAATTTGCATGCCCAGCTGTGCGCTACTTGCTGTTAAAATATGCGTGGGCACAGGGGTGCACATCTGCTTATTAACTGCTTTCTGTTCATGTTGCATGAGTCCTTCAGGATTCTTAGGAACTAAAATGTGTGAAGATCATTAAGACATTTATAAAGCAAAAGTGATTTATATTGATATAATAACACCTCCGCAAGTTTATACACAGAAATAAACAAATGCAGTCTCTTGGGAGATTGATTAACTTAGCCATGCCTTGCTTTTTAAATAACAACCAGCTCTTAAGCACTGAACTAAGATTTGAAAACTCCAGCCATAGCCCCTTTGGCTATGCTTTTCACAGGAAGAACAATTACTGAACTGTGATTCTTAACAGCTCAGCCAGGTGTCAAAAAGTCCTAATGACTCTCTTAGTCCTGAGAAGCAGAGGAGATGATACAGTTTACCCCCAGGTTCACTCTGCTCTGGGACAAAAATATCCATCCCTGATTCTTCTGGACTCTCTCAAGAAAGCAAGTATCATCACCACAATGAAGATTCTTATGCAACCAATGCGACCCAGAAAACCTACCTTGACCCACAGGTGTCCTGTGCTTCCCACACTGAGGCCAGATTGACTCTATCAGTAAAGAAACCCCTGGGTCAGGAAACTTTTGCTAAAAGGAGTTATCTGATACATAGAGAGAGTAGGCCTGGCTAGTGCTTTTCCTCCATGATCAACCCTGCACACTCCTAGGGAGCATCTAGAAATATTTGAGGGTGTTAGGGGTCATCCCAGTGATATGTCATGCTATTGGCATTTAGTGTCTCCAGGTCAGAGATGCTGTGTTCTAGGACAGACTCTAAATGATGAATTGTCTTGTCTGTAGTTCTGCTAGCACCTGATTGTAATATGCTGTACCTAAACCATGTTGATTGAACCAAGAATTGCCTTGGAAGGCTTAGGCCTAGGTAGGTTCCCCCCTGGGGGACTAGGGCCAAAATGCAATCTTTAGGAGGCCATGGAATGGGTTCTTGGTTATTGATTTAGGGTCTTGGGCTATGGGAAAGGACATTGAAACAGAACTAGGCCACCCAGGGGATATCCAAATGTCCCTCCTCCAGTCATGGATATCTCTTTCCATCAGAATGTTCCTTGATGTTTCTTCATGGGTTGCTATGCCCATCATAGATTCTGACTGCACACAGGAACATTTACCACCCTCTCTTTCCCCTTAGAAGGTTCTCTGAGTGTTCTCCCATGTCTCATCATCTCTGCCATAGTGGCTTCCATGTAGCCCCAGCTTTCCAGGGCAGCAGCATTCCCATCACTTTTAACTTTTTATTTAATTTTTTTTTGCCTTACTGGGATTTGAACTCAGGGCCTCGCACTTGCTAGACAAGCATTCTACTTCTTGAGTCATGCCCCAGTCCTTGTTTCCCTCACTTGTGATCTCACTCTGACTTCAAGAAGGGTGCATTGGCTATTCATTGGAACTTTGACAGGCTGCCAAGCCACTTGTCCCAGAGAGGTACCTGGGTGAATTGACAGCCTGGCACAGGGGCCGTTACACTTGTAACACCAGTTGGCAATCACTGGCTTGGCTGTCTGCAATCCCAGTGCAGCTGAACTGCAAAGAAAATCTCATCTGTCCCTGCCAGGGCCAACACAGGCACCTCTATGAGTACTTGAATAACACAAAGACATCCTCTCAAGTACCCAGCACTTTCCAGCCTGCCATTTGAATAGCTGAACATCTCAGTGTTCATTGAGGGGCTTGTTCGGCAGCCCTGGCTGTCAAGGGGCTCTGAGTCCACAAGTCTGCTTCTTTGCATCCTTTGTAGATTGAGAGATGCTGACTGCACAAATGCATACACTGAAGCCCAGCGTGTATGCCAAAGTCACAACAAATAGATGGCAGAAGTCTCAAAACTGACATTTGGGCAGCCTCCACCAATATGTTTCTAGACGCCCTAGTATTAAAAGTAGGGCAGCAGAGCAGACGGAGCCCAGAAGTTGTCAGATTTATGACTGTACAGCAGACACGTGACATGATTCCTCTGCGTGGACACATTTTTCAAGTTACTAAATTGATCATCTATAAAAGCCAGCTATGGCCAAAAATGAACATTTTGCAAGTAACTCAAGTCATTTGATTTAGATTATGAATCCAGAAATAGTCTACTTTTTAATCACAGAAATGTATATAGCTTTTGCTTTTGTTACTTCCTAAGTAAAGGGTTGACAGACAAACCAGAGTGGGCATTCTGACTGTGAAGGAAGAAGCAACACAGTAAGCACACAGGAAATCATTTGTCTGGTGGAAGGAGAGAGGGAGAGAGAGAAAGACATAAACTTCTTCTGTCATATATCTGGCCAGGGGAAATTGAGGGACACACACGTCCACCTCCTGGACTTTTGGTGTTCCCCAGGGCCCTGGCCTCTGGGCAGCAGTCATGGTTCTCTTTTCTCATCCTAGGGCACAGGGTGTGGGCCACCATGAAAACGAGTGCCTTAGCCTTCTCTGTAGGACTATTGTGCTTGCTTGTCAATTTCCCCCTCACATGTTTGGTACTTGGAGTAACTTAGAGCAAGAACAGATCTCCCCTCTCAAGGCTCTTTTTCTTTCACAGGATGTGATGGTGACTTTACAAGACCGTCTCTCACTGAGGTATATTGAACACTTTGCCCTTGTCCTTGAGTATGCTGGGCCAGAACAGAATCACAGGTTCCTGCTTCTCCAGGACAAGCAGCCCCTGGCTTATGTAAGTCACTCCTTTAGCCTGATTTGGTAGCTTGCATGTGGCCTGTACTAGAGAAAAGTACCCAAGGCACTCCCTGTCTGGAAAATTCATAATTATATGCTCAGCCAGCTCCCAAAAGTCACATTGTTTAGCTGAGGTTGTTACTACCCATCTCCAGAGGGCCTTTGGTAATGCCCTTCATGACCTAAGGAAGGCATGAAGATCTCTAATAGCAACTCTCCTGTTTCCTGGAAACCCCACCCACCTGACTTTTCAGCTTCCTGAGAAGAAACTTGCTTGGATGAAGGCTGTGATGTGGAAAGGTCGGGGAATGGAATCAAGTAAGAGCTGGGAATGAGTTGAGTAGGGCCAAGATTAGGCAGTAGGTCATCTGACAGGCTTCCAAGGTAGAGGAGGAAAAACTGCTCTTCCCAGCCCACAACATGTGGGAGAAGGCTGGGGAGATCCAGGATTGCTGAATGGGATTTCACCAATGGTGAAGCACCAAGAAGAGTCACAGAGATGTGACTCTTCAGCAGAGCCAGCTGGTATTCCCAGGTAGGGTGAGAAGAGCTGGAGAGGGACAACTGGGAAGAAATACCCTTTTAGAGTTTATATGGAAGCCAAACAAAAGCCAAAATCAAGATGGGTGTGCCACAGGGAGACTAAGGCAGGATTTTTTGAGTTCCAGGCTAGCCTGGGTTACAGAGTGAAGCCTTGTCTGAAAAAAATATCAGACACAAAAAGGATGAAGGGATTGTTGGAAAGAAAGGTTTTTCAAGTTCCACTCTCAGCTAAATGCAATCCAGAGATTTCCAGGTGAAGAAGGAAAGGATATGGGTATCCTACTTGGAGGGAGGCTTAAGCACTCTTTAGCTACCAAAGAGTCCTGCAAATCCAATTGGTCTCTTACTCCAAATGAAATTTTAAACTTTTTATTATGAAAAAATTTGAAACATAATACAAAAATAGAGGAAGTATGGTATAGTAAGCCCTATTGCCTACCCCTGGCTTCCACAGTTAACAGTATTATCGATACCTCCACGTGGGGTTTTCAGTCTGATTTGGCCTCTAATCAGCAGCTTGCTCTGCTTGAGGCTGAGCCCCTCTGCAAAGTACAGACATGAGCCCCATAGCAAGAAAAGAGTGTGAGAAGTTCCCAGGAGCCTCTTCTCCCACCTACTGTCTTAGCACTTAGACCCCACTATCATCCAGGGATACTTTCCAAGACTCCCACCCCAGTGGATGCTGAAACCACTGATAGCACCCAACCCTGTATGTACTGTTTTTTTTTCTATACATACATGCACACCTATGACAACGTCTCATTTACAAATTAGGCACAGGAAGAGATTAACAACATTAACTAATAGTAAAATAGTATAACTATAAAATATACCATAATAAAATGCCATAATACCATAATAAAAGTTACTTAAAACTCATGAATTGCTTGTTTCTGGAATTTTCCACTTAATAGTTTTGGATAAGAGTTGACAATAGGTAACTGAGTGAGGAAGTGAAACGTCAGACGAGGGGGCACTACTAAATATGTCTCCCACTGTCTGCCAGGTTGGAGACAGTGGGAAACAACGGCCTAGCTGTGCTCTAAGCACCCTTTTAAGGAGCCATCAAGCTGACTGCCCACCACCCCAGGCATTGATTCTAGATCTCTTTCCCCCTCCTCTCACCCCTGGGGTTCAGGTGGTACAGCGGACACACTATCACGGAATGAAATGCCTCTTCCGAATAAGCTTCTTTCCCAAAGACCCCGTGGAGCTGCTGCGTCGGGATCCTGCTGCTTTTGAGTACCTATACATCCAGGTAGAGTCTGGCTTGGGGAAACAAAAACAGACACACCAGTGGACAAATAAGCAGTCAGGCTGTTCTGCCATCACAATGAAGTCGCTATGTAAGTTATTTCAACCTCCAGTTAGCTCTGAAGGTCCTTTCTTTTTCTGCTACCATTGTAGTCCATGACCAAGTTGATTGGCCTGGTGACATGAGCTGACTGTGGCTCAAAGTCCTGTCTATGTGTCCACACAGAGCTCATCTGTTTTTAGGATCAAGCAACCCCAGTGACTCTGGTACCTTCACAGGATCCCAAAATTTAACAAACCGTTTTAAGTTTCAGGAGGTCTCAACCTCTGATACCTAGATACAATAAGAAACTGATTCCCAATTCACTCCACCCAGAAACATTTACTGAGCACTTGCATTTACAAAGGCAGGATGACATCAAACAGCATGGCATGATGAGAGAATTGCTAGTGATTTATTACAGCCGCAGTATAGGATGTGATGTAAGGAACAAAAGGAAATGAAGGTGGAGATGCAGGAAGCAGGTGGTGAAGGGCTTGGTAGGCAATGGCTAGCATAGGCTTTATGACGGAGGTTGGGCAGTATTCTGGGAGTGTGCTCCCTGAACCAGCAGCGTCAGCACCAATTAAGAACTTGTTAGAGATGCACATTCTTGTGCCCTAGCCCATTCCTATTGAATCAGAAACCCTGGAGGTGGATCTTAGTGATCTGTTTTAACAAGCCCTCCATGGGATTCTGATACCCAAAAGCCTTGGGAATCACTGCTTTAGGAAAGTGGTTCGTAGCCCTAGCCATACATTAGAATTAACACTTAGCTATGGAAAAAATGCTCTGACCATTCAAGATTGACTTAATCAAAATCTGGAAGGTGAGCCAAAACAGTGGTATTTCTTAAATTCCTCAGGTGATTCTAATGTAGAAGCAAAGTAAAGAAATTCTACTGGAGAGTGAGGACACAGAAATGAAGAAAGAATAGCCTGGTCAGATAAGCAACTTCAAAAGATTACACAGTGCTAAGGAAATACATCCGCCAGAAATCTATGGCTGTTAGCTTGAGGAGAATGAGAAGGACCAGAATCAGGACTGTGATGGAGGGATCTGGAGTGATTCAAGGGAGACTTAAAAGACAGATCAATACACTGACTTGATGAGTGTCTGGTGGAGATGGTGTCATACCTCAAATTAGGGAATAAGGGCAGTGGAATGGGTCTGGGGACACAATAAGTTCATTTGGGAACATGTTGAGTTTTAGGTGCTCACAGGACATACACAGCCTTTGATGAGAGAAAAAAAACTTCAAACTTCATCCATCTCTGTGGTGACACCTGGGAATGTGCTATGAGACATCGTGGTTGTCCTAGAAAGGCCCTTTCTGACAACCTAAAATGTTAGGAACATTTCTCAGCTTCAAGTTCCTTTGCCAACCCTCTAGGGGGGAATGAGTTGTGTGATTGCTCTATGAATTTTAGAAATTTAATTAATTCTCATTTTATGTGCCTTGAATTTCTTCATTCAAGCTTCTGAGGATTGCCTTGGTTCTATTATTTCATAATTTGATCACAAGACCATATTTAGCCTGTTTCTCCTCTTTGTGATGGTATGGACTTTAGCCATATTTCTTCTTTCTTACACTTCAGTTTTATTGGATTCTAATTGACACACAACAAACTGCATACTCTAATAAATTCTCTCTCTCTCTCAGACACACACACACACACAAAGCCATCACCATACTCAAAATATTGAACATGTCCAATATTCCTGAAAGTTTCCTCAAGATCCTTTATCAATTCGTCCCCTCAGGCACCAGACCTCTGGCCTGTTTTCTGTCACTATAGATTACTTCTCATTTTCTAGAGTTTATATAAATTAAATCATATGGTATGTGTACTTTATTTTGATCCAGTTTATTTTGCTTAGCATGATTTTGAGATCCATCCATGTTATTGCATATATCAATAGGTCATTTATTTTTGTTGTTGAGGAGTATTCCATAGTACTGGTGTGCTAGAATTTGTCACACCTGTTGATGGTGTGACATCATTTTTATTCATTTATTATGAATAAAACTTCGATGAATATTCATGTTCAAGTCTTTGTATGCACACATGCTTTCTTTTCTCGTGGAGTAAATACCTAGTAATGGAATGGTTTGACAATACAGGGCATCTATTTTTTCTTTAGTTTTTTATTTGTTTGTTTTCTTGTTTTGCGGGAAGGGAGGTAGGGTCTAGCCTGGAACTTGCTTTGTAGCTCAGGATAGTCTTGACCTCGTGATCCTCTTGCCTCCCAAGTGCTGGGATTACAGGTATGTGCCACCAAGCTCCACTGTTTTTATTTAATTTTTAAAAGAAGCTCCCATGCTATTTTCCAAAGTGGTTGTACCCTCTTACATTCCTACCAGTCATTATTAGAGTTCCAGTTTCTCCACATCCCTGTCAACACTAGATATTGTCAATATTTTTTACTTTAGTTATTCTAATAATGAGTAGTAGCATCTCATTATGATTTCCGTTTGCGTTTCCCTAATGAATAATGATGTTGAATAACTTGTCATGTGTTTATTTGCTGTTGTGCATCATCTTTGGTGAAATGTCTTTTCAAATCATTTGCCTGCTTTTTTATTGGGTTGTTTTCTGATTATCAAGTTTGGAGAGTTCTTTATATATTCTGGAAACAAGTCATTTGTCAGATATGTTATTTATGTTATTTGCAGTTATTTTCTCCCAGTCTGTGGCTTGCCTTTTCAGTCTCTAAACAGTGTCTTTCACAGAACAGATGTTTGAATTTTGATGAAGTCTAGTTTGTTATTTTGTTCTTTTATGGACAGTGTTTCTGGTGTCCTATCTAAGAAATATATGTCTAACTCAAGGTCACAAAGATGCTCTATTTTTATCTTTCTTTTTTTTTTTTTGGTAGTACTCAGGTTTGAACTCAGAGCCTTGGGCTTGCTAGGCAGGCACTGTACCACTTGAGCCACACCACCAGCCATTTTAGGTTTTAAATTTAGGTCTATGATCTATTTTGAGTTGACTTTCATATGTGGTACCATGTGTCCATCAAAGGGTGGGGGGAGCTATCCACACATGTGTATGCTTGTGTGTGCATATTGGCATCTGGATATCCAGTTTGTTGAAAAGACTCTCCTTTGTCCACTGACTTGTCTTTACATCTTTGTCAAAAAATCAGTTGGCTAAAGCCATATGTGGTGGTACATGCCTGTGATCCCAGCACTGGGGAGGCTTAAGCAGGAAGATTGTGAGTTCAAGGCCAACCTGGGCTGCATAGTGAGTTTCAGGCCATTGTAGTCCACACAGAGAGACTCTGTCTCACAAAAAATCTCTGGCTCAAGTGGTGGAGCACCTGGCAAGCACAAGGCACTGAGTTCAACAGTACAAACCCCCAAAATATCAGTACAAATATCTATATATTTGTGGATATATTTCTGAAGTCCATTCTGTTCCATTGTTCTTATGCTAGCATCATACTCTTTTGATTGCTATAGTTTCATAGTAAGTCTTGCAATCAAGTAGTATTTGTCCTCCAACTTTGTTTGTCTTTTTCAAAATTATTTTGACTATTCTGGGTCTTTTGCATTTTCATATAAATTTTAGAATCAATTTGTCAGTTTCTACTAAAAATCTTACATGATTTGGATTGGAATTATGTTGAATCTATAGATCGATTTGGAGAGAATTGACATCCTAACAATATTGAATCTTCTAACCATGAACACAGTATTTCTCTCTCTCTCTCTCTCTCTCTCTCTCTCTCTCTCTCTCTCCCTCTCTCTCTCTCTTTTTCTTTTTTTGGCTGTACTGGGGTTTGAATTCAGGACCTCTTGCTTGCTAGGCAGGCACTCTTCCACTTGAGCCACTCCACCAGACCTAAACACAGTATTTCTATATTGATTTAGGTCTGCTCTAATTTTTCTCAGCAGTGTTTTGTAATTTCCAGTACACAGGTCTTTCACATTTTTCCAGATTTAGTCCAACTATTTCATATTTTTGATGCTGTTATAAATTATTTTGAGTTTTAATTTCAATTTCCAATTGTTTGTTATTATAATATAGAAATACAATTTTTTGTGTGTTAATCTTAGGTCCTGCAACCTTGCTCAACTCACTTCTTAGTTCTAGTAGCTTTTTATAGATTCCATTGGATTTCCTAATAAATGATCACTGATGAAGTATTCCTTTTCTCTTCACTCCTATGCTATAGGTGATACCACTGTGCCTCTCTAGTCCCTTAGCCCATCTGTTTCCACCTAAACTAAACGAACAACTGTTCTAACCAAGGTGAACTCATTCACAGCTGGGGCACTGGCCTTTAGAGTTTGGAGGCTATAGCCATACACTTGGCTACCAGTCCCAGGAAACCCCACCCCCAGGACAGCATAGGGAAGATCAACTCATCATTGTTTTTGTCCTTCAGATCCCAATGAACAGAATGTCTGTCCCATCCCTGCAATCCATCTTTCACTCTGAGCTTCTAAGCCAGAGCCCTGTGGAGGGTCCCTCTTAGTGTCTCTCTTTCTTTGCTCCTATATGAACTAGTAGAAGAGTCTTGTATGACTGGGGGGGTGAGTATAGATCCCCCCAAAAAGGTGGGAGGGTCTTGCTACGTGCCGGTGTCGAGGGTCCTTGACTTCACAGGCCAGGGAACTGGCTCGTGAGGCAGCTGAATGATGAGCCAAAGCTCGTATATAAAGTAGGATTTATTAGAGAGAAAGGAAAGGCTACAGCTAGAGAAGCACAGCAGAGCCCGGAAGCCGGTAGCTCCCTGCACAGGTGAAGGCTGGGGTTTTTATGGACGTTCTAACTCTGGGTTAGGTGGGTTTTTCTTATTGGCCATGGATTCGCAGGCTTTCTCAGGTGAACTGGTTTGGTTTTCACCTTTATTGAGGGAGGGGAAACAATCTTGAGAGCATTTTGCTCATCAGCCCTGTGGCAGATCTGTATCTGTCCTTTAGGATGCAGGAATGCAGGCCTCCAACTCCTCAGGATGCAGGAATGATATTGCTCTCCTTGGGGGATGAGATACTCACTCACGTGCCTTAGTTCTCCAGACCCAACAGTCTCTTGTAATAGGAGGAAAGAAAAAAATGTCTTGATTGTGCAATGAACTAGATTTTCTGTCCACTCGTGCCTTGCCATTGTGTCACCTGTCACTGAGAAGAAGGCTGTTTAGTCTGTTGAATGAAGCAACGAGTGTCTCTGTGACCCAAGGCTCCACTGTTGTCTCTTCCCCAAGGGCAACACCTTCCTCTTTCCCTTGATGTATTATGCCTTACAGACACCATGATTCTTTTCTGGGATACAAGGAGTGGATGGGAGTGGGGAGGGAATGTCTCCTTTAACTGATGGATTTGGACTGCCCTCTCTCACAGAGTCGAAATGATGTCATACGGGAACGCTTTGGGATGGACCCCAAGCCAGAGATGCTTTTGGGACTTGCTGCTCTCCACATCTATATCACTGTCTCTGCCACTCAGCCTAGTCAGAAGATCTCGCTGAAGAATGTGGAGTGAGTTGTATGGGGCCCTTCGGCCCTTAAAGCAGATAGCTGTGTAGGGAGAAGGTGCAATGGTTGAGCTATGTTATGCATTTCAGGAATGCATGCATGTCATGGGAGTTGGAATTAGAGTTCCTCACATCCAGACCATGATGCCCTAGAGTTACAGCTTCTACTAGGGACCTGTAGCCAGTGCTCTCCTGTCCCCATACCTCTTTCTTTTCTCCCAGTCTCTGTTCCTCCATCTCTTCCTCTCAGCTTCAGTTTGTCTTACCATCTTCCTCTCTCTGTCCCACTTTGTCTCACTAATCTCTTACTTTTCTTCTGCTTTTAGGAAGGAATGGGGCCTGGAACCCTTTCTTCCCCCCTCCCTCCTGCAGGGCATCAAAGAGAAGAACCTTCGGAAGTCTCTCTCTCAGCAACTGAAGGCTCACCAAACACATCCTTCTTGTGGCACCAAGGTACCCAGAGGCCACTGGGTACCATGTTCAGGCAATAGAGGCCTCAGGGGGGTCCTCGGTGGTTCTCTGGGGATCCTTACCACTCTTTCTGACTTAGGTTGCACATCCAACTTGGCCAGATATGGGGAAGTTATGGAAAAAGAGTTTGCCCCAACCCTGAGGCTCTCCCAGAGACAACTGAGTGACATGTCACTGAATGAGCTCTGAGTCCTCCAGACAAAGGGGCCAAAGGCAGGAAAAGATGATTCTCATGTTCTTTCACCAATTAGTCAGTACTGATTGGATACCTGCCCTGTGGAAAGCATTGGTCCCCCTGGAGGCACATGTTTTCCATGGAAATGGCTGCTCTGCTCCTCACTAAGCTTTTTAATTCATCAGTCCTGTGATGTGGAATTCTGGGAGATGAAAGTTCAACTGAAGTATGAGGGGTGGGGGGAGGGTGACAAGGCCTGATCTGGAGACTGGACCACTGGGTACGCATGTAAGGGTGACAGCCACTGCTACACCGTCCTCCACCTTCTGAGGCATGCACCCCTTTGCCTGTGAAGGACTCCACTCCTGCAGGCCTTTCTTAGGCTACTTATGCTTCCTGCCCAAGAGGCAGGAGAATGGTGAGAGGTACTAGGATCAGCATACAGATGTAGACAGGCAAGACACTAGCGCCCCCATATATCCCACTCATTCCAGATTTCTTGCATTACCAACTAGTTTCTCTTTAAGATGCAAATCTCCCCAACAAGCTAAGCGTTCTCACCTTGCTGTGCATATTTAATCAGATTGTTTTCTTCTCAGCTGAAAGCACAATTGCTCACTACCATCTCCACTGCTTAACATTTTTTGAGCACCCCGGGGGCTCCACGTGGAGATACAAAGCTGAAGAAAGCCTGGTCTCTGCCCTTGAATCAGGCACAGTCTAGTGGGAAACAATCTTCACTCCCAACACAGTGTCTTGGGCGAAGGGGCTTTGCAAGCACAAAGGAAGGATGCCAAGCCCAGGCTGGGGGAGGAGGAGCAGGCTAGGAGCTTGTACATTTGCTGCCAGAGGTTGATCTTGAAGCCCAGACAGATAGGAGTTTGTCTAGATGAGTTGGTGGGGGTGAGCAGCAAGAGGGAGATTCATCTGCATGGAAGCCCAGAGATAGGAGAGACCATGGTGCAAGGAAGGGAAGGCAGATAGCTCGGCCTAAGCAAGTACACAGAAGGCAAGGGATGTGCAGGGGCTGGGGTAGGGAAAAGAGAGGAGGCCAGAGAGGTCAGCAGGAACTGGTTCATAGAGGGCCTTGTGTGCCATGGAAAGGATTGTACTTTATCGTGTAGGCAGCAGGAAGACACAGAAGGGTTGAAGTAGGAAGCTGATGTTACTAACAGTGGATGGAGGCAGCTGAGGGAATATTGGTCTGAAGGTAACCTGACTGTCCCCTTGACACAGGAAGGAATGTCAAGTCAATGGCTGTAGGACAAGAGATGAGGGGTGGATAGGTTGGAGAGGAAGTTAGGGGGTAAAATGAAGATGATTTGCTGACTGGTGGCCCTTAAATGAGAGGATGAAAGAATCCAGCTTCACTCACCGCTCACAGCTTCCTGGCTCAGTTGCCCCAGAGATGCTAATGGAGACCTGGAAGGCCAGGTGAAGAGTGGGCTTGGCACTTTGGGCTGCTCAGTATAAAAGCACTGAGTGAGACCTCTGGCTGTGGATGGCAAGTGTGTGGATCTAAGGAGCCGATGGATCTCAGGAAAGAAGCATAGATTAGGTGAGTGTCAGAGGTGGAGGAAAGGGTTGGAATTAAACCAATAACAAAATGAGTCAGCTAGATGCTTTAGAGTGAGGATCAGGAGGCAGAGGACAGTTTAGAAAGGGAGATGGTACGCCAGAGGTGAGAGACATCCAAACTGGAACCTGCCTCCCATTTTACCCAGGCCCTCCTCATTCCCATGGAGTAGCTTGATGACTGGTACCTGTCCTAATATTGAGACTTCCTTTAGAGAAAGCAGGTTTGCTTTTCCTGTGCTCCTCGGGCTTCTCAGATTTCAGGATGGGTTGTTTCCACAGGGCTCTGCAATTCAGGCAAAGCTCCAGTACCTTCGAATTCTGAACGAACTTCCGACCTTCACTGGCGTTTTGTTCAACACTGTGGGCCTGGTCAGTGGGGTGGTGTGGGGAAGGGTGCGTGGAGGGGAGGGCGCTCTTTGTTGTCATTTGTCCTTGGGTGGGGGTGGGGCAAGAGGGGCAAATACAGTTAGCCCTCGAATTCACAGGTTCCACATTCATGGATTCAGCCAAATGTGGATTAAAAATATTCAAAACAAAAAATTGTTCAGTACTGAACGTGTATAAACTTGTTTCTTGTCATTATTCCCTGGACAATACAGTATAACAATGATTTACACAGCATTTATACTATATTAGGTATCGTAAGTAATCTCGAGATGATTTAAAGAATATGAGAAATGGGGCCAGGTGTGGTGGTTCCTATCTGTAATCCCAGATACTTGGGAAGTGGAAGAAGGAAGATTACAGTTCCAGGTTAGGGGGTAGGAAAGCACAAGACCTAATCTGACAAAGAAAACAAAAGCAAAATGAATAGGGGCATGGCTTAAGTGATAGAGCACTTGTCAAGCAAGTGCAAGGCCCTGAGTTATATGCCCAATACTGCCCAAAAATAAATTTTAAAAGAATTTAATGTATATGGGAGAGCCGGACATGGGGTTGCCTGCCTATGATTCCAGCACTTGGGAGGCTGAGGCAGGAGGATCACAAGTTTGAGGCCAGCCTGGGCTACATAGTGAGAGTCTCTCTCTCTCTCTCTCTCTCTCTCTCTCTCTCTCTCTCTCTCTCTCTCTCTATATATATATATATATATATATATATATATATATATATATATATATATAGGGGAAGTTGTACACAAGTGATATGCAAATACTATGCCATGCAAGGGGATCCTAGAACTAAACTCCTGTGGATACGAAGGGCTGACTGCATTTGTTTTCAATGACCCTTTCATAATCCTTTTGTGTCCCCCTCCCTCTCTTTCAGAGGTTGGCAACCTTTTTCTGTAAAGGGCAGGATAGTAAATATTTTAGGCTTTTACAGGTGGGCCAAATGGGTCTCTGTGACAGCTACATAGCCCTGCCATCTTAGCATGAAAGCAACTGCAGACAATGTATTAACAAATGGGTGTTGCTTCGTGCCAGTAGCTATTTAGGGACACAGAAATTTGAATTTCATGTAATTTTCACGTGTCACAAAGTATGGTTCTCTTGATTTCTTTCCAGCCATTTAAAACTATAAAAACATTCTTAGCTCTTGAGCCTTACAAAACAGGCAGTGGACTGGATCTGACCCATGGGCCATAGTTTGCCAACCTCTGCTCTATTTCACTGCCCTTACACATACTCGTACAGTCCCCTACCCTAGGTTTCCTGAGTCCCCATACTGCCCCCTGCCGGTGCAGCACCGGCACTGCAGCAGTAACGCTCTGGAACTGGCACAGCTGGTCCCACCCCCAAAACTGCACCCTAGGCTCCTTGACCCTGGTGAAAAGAAATTCAAATCATCTTGCTGATTGGCTCCAGATGCTTGTCACGCTCTGAGGAGCACACTGTTATGCTAGCGTGGCACACTGGAGGGAAGCTGCTTATCCAAGTGCCAGTAGACAGAGACACAAGAGGTTCCTGGGGTGATGCTGATAGCAAGGAATGGCCCAGAAGAAGGCTCAGGCCCAATGGCGCCAAGGAGTCTTCCAGGACCATTTAAGGGAATCCAGTCTGTCAGACCTAGAGGCAGCATTTACGTACTGAGATTTACTAAACACTGGAAGCTTCTGTCTCCTCTTTTTACCCCAACACCCCCTCAAGTCTCCCTTCTACTCACCTGCCATTGCTGAAATTCCTATTGGCCACTCTTTCAAATTAAGACTTCTGGAATGCCTGTTAAAAGGTAAATATTCTCCTAGGTAGGAAGCCTCCATTAAGCACTCAGTCAACCCTTAATGCCTTAGGCAGTTACTTTGTCACTTTAGTTTTTGACATTGGGTGAGCAGCACAAGTTTGAGTGGCTGTTGGTGGAGGGAAGGTAAAAGCAAGATGTAATGCTATCTGGTCAGGCAGAGCCCTGGGTGGGGGCCTTGAATGGCCTTCAGCAAGCATGAAAGTCCCTGGGGTTTGGTAGGCAAAGGTTCTCCAAAGGCACAGAACAAACCTCACCTTTACCACTTTGCTACAGCCAGCCCTGCTGCTGCTGTCCACTTGCCCTACTGCTGCAGCTAAGGTGTTGATTTACCTAGATAATGTGGAGCCCTACCTTGGATCAGAGGGCTTCCAGACCATTTCCTCCCTCCCATTTTTCTTACCCCAGCACTGAGCCCCTGGTATTTCCAGCCCTGTCCTCAGTAGAACCAATACAATGCATATTTTCTATGTCTTCCTGCCTTCTTTCTCCACCTCCTGCCTCCTTCTTCCTGTGAATACTGCCTGCCCATCATGCTTGGACACCAGGATGAGAAGCAGTCAGCCACCACTCTCCTGGTAGGACCCCGTCACGGCATCAGCCATGTTATTGACCTCAAAACCAACCTCACCACTGTGCTGTCCGAGTTCAGCAAGATCAGCAAGATCCAGCTGTTTCGGGAGAACCAGGGCGTGGCCCGTGTGGAGACCAGCATCATGGATGCCAAGGTAAGCCCTGCCTTGCGGCTGTTCTCTCCAGGAACAGGCCTGGGGAACAGAAAGAAGTAAATGTGAGATTTAGAACTGAGCCTAGGATGTGAGATGCAGTGATTCTGAAGTGGTTCAGCCCCTGGATCCTTTTGGGCTCATCTTTCTTTTCCTTCTCAACCCTCTGGAATATACTGTTTTCACCATCTAGGAAAGCCAGCCAGCACCAGGGAAGGCTAGGGAGTGTCAGGTAAACCTGAGACAGGTTTTTCACAGGGCAGAACGTAAGAGCTTGGAGCTACTGCTAGACCATTACGTCCTAATTATTCTCATGTCATAGCACACATAGAAAATCAGATTCACATAGATGGCATGGTGGTACACGCCTTAATCCCAGCTACTCTGGAGGCTGAGGCAAGAGGATCATGGGTACATAGCCAGACCCTGTCTCAAAATAAAAATCTGACAAAGGGCTTGGGATATAAGTTCAGTGTATAGCACTTGCCTAGAATGTGTGAGGCCCCAGGTTCAATCCCCAGCACCACCACGAGAGAGAGAGAGAGAGAGAGAGAGAGAGAGAGAGAGAGAGAGAAGAAAGTGCAACTTTGGGGTAAGTGGAGCAGCCCCAGAGACTGACCACCCCAGGGCCTGCCTCTGAGGCCAAAGGAATGAATATCTTGGCCCATCTCTACCCATTCCACATGCACACCAGTTGAAGAGCACCCATTTTGAATCATGGAGGAGGGGGTCTGAGCATAAGGACAGAACGTAGGCATCTGGAGAGAGGAAACAGCAGAGCTTGGGCTCCATTTCACCTCTCAGAGTCCCACTCTTCCAGAACCTCCAAACCTTTCCCATAGATCAGCCCCTTCAGATTGGCAAGCAGCTGTTGTCGGTGCGCAAAGTCTGGCAGCCACCGTCAGCCACCCCTCTGCAGTTCTCCTGTTTGAACACAGTGACCAGCGTGAGCAGGGGGCAGGCCTGCTTGCCAGCTGTGGAGGCATTTAGAGGAGGTGCAGCTTTACCTTCTTAAAGGATTTCCCAGGAGGACATGTTGTTAGCAGATTAAGAGGTGGAGTGTTTGCCATTTCTAAAAGAGCAAATAGTTTATTTTTGTATTTGGGAAACTCAGAAATTCACAGGATTCCCTTGGTTTGGGAACCTGCCCAGTGCTGATGTTTCATTGGTTTGTAGTCACTTCCTCCACCAATGGTTGCTGCCCTCCTCAGATGTTGTTGGGTAAAAAGCCAAATGAACCAGTAAGGAAGGGGGAGGAAAGACAAGGGGAGGTGTGGCTTCCTAAGAAATGAAAGGGCTTTAAAATAGAAACGGTTTCCCAAGTGAGTGGTCTTCTGTGTTCTACAGTGGTATTTTACATTGGCTGCACAGTAGAATTTCCTTGAGAGCTTTTAAAAGCTTCAGATGCCTAGGTCTTACTCCCAGAAATGATTTCATTGGTTGGAGGTACCATTAGGGCATCCAGAATTTTTTCCAGTTTCCCAGGTGATTTTGTAGTACTAGTTTTTTTGTTTTGTTTTGTTTTTTGTTTTTTGTGTTTTTTTGCGGGGGAGAGTTGGTTGGTTGGTTGGTTGGTTGGTTTTGGTTTTGGTTTTGGTTTTTTGAGACAGGGTTTCACTGTGCATCCCAGGCTGGCCTTTAACACACAATCCTCCTGCTCTAGCATCCTAAGTGCTGGGATTACAGGTATGCACCACCACATCTGCTACAACTAGCTTTAGAGCACACAAGTCTGAGATCTATTTAATCAGAGGTCTGGAAGGAAATGGGCTGAGCAGGGATCAGTGGGTGTTGCCTGAGTGAGGAGCACTTTGCTTCTTTCTAGAAATGTTCCAGCCACAGTTGTGGTCATGAATGCTCCTTACAAGCTACACTCTTACTGGGGAGGCTAGACTCACAAAGACCCAGGACTTGCCTTACACATCAGATCATGGACAGAGCTCTGAAATCAGATAGCTGAGGTTCAAATCCCAGCTGTACTGCTTCCTAGCTGTGTAGTCTCAAGAAAGTGTCTTAACCTCAACCGCAGAATGGGGCATCTAGCTCAAAAGCTTGTTGTCAACATTAAATGAGAAACTACCCACAAAACATCTTAGCACACTGCTGGCACATAGTACATAGTCAACAAATGAGACCTGTTTTTTTTTTCCCAAAGTAAAATATCAGTAAAGAAAAGGTAATATGAAGCAAGTGTTATAGATTAGTGTAGTGTGGAATGAAGAACAGGAAGGAGTTAACCAGAACAGACCTGCCAACAAGGGGGTATTTAAAGCTGGATCTTGACAGGATAGGCATGAATTAGTAGAGAGAAGTGGGATGTGTTCAGAGGCAAGGAGCAAGCCCGGAAATAAGCAAGCCATATGTGCAGGTCGATGAGCATAGTTGCTTGGCTGGAGAGGAAAATAATGAGAGAAGAGATCAGAGAGATTAGGAGTGGGCAGTACAAGTTAGTTAAAAGCCTCCCAGGCCCCTTTGAGGATTTTAGATTCAATGTGTTGGAATAGTGGGAATCTACCACAGTTCCTTGAGCAGAGGGGTGACAGAACAAAAGCTGATTTGGACCCAGGTGTAAGATAAGTGAGAGCGAGGCTTGTGTGAAACTAGAGAGGCCAGGCATTGTGGTACCAGTCCATGGGTGAAGTGCTAAGGGCCTGAACAGCAGTGGTGAGTAGAAAGAGTGGTGTAAAGCATGCATGTGTGCCCTTCCCCCATGCACACCTGCCTTGCACACACAACGCACATGTATTCTTGTAGCTAATCCTATTACTTTACATATCCCAAGTGCCCTAAAGAACAGTGCTACATGCACCACGCTCTGCCAAATCATGAGTGGGTGGCAAAGTGGGACTACGTTATGGAGTAAACGGGAGATGGCCTTGGTATGTGGAGGGGGCTAGAAGGTTACGCTTTGGGAGTAGGGAACAGTGAATGGTTAGGTAGATGACATGAGTGTTCACAGGTGCATCCCTAACTTGATACACAGTTCAGGTATGCTCTACTTTATTTTAGGTACTGGGTTGAACTCAGGGTCTCACGCTTGCTACGTAGGTATGCTACCACTTGAGCCACTCCACCAGCCCTGTATTGTTAAAAAGCAGTACTGGAGTTTGAACTCAGGGCTTTGTGCTTGCTAGGCAGGTGCTCTACCACTTGAGCCACACCTCTAGCCCTGGCCTACTTTAAACAACTGATAAAATGCATATGAAAATCACAGAACACCAGACATGGTACACGTCTATAATCCTAGCATTCAGAGGCTGAGGCAGGAGAATCTTGAGTTTGAGGCTAACTGGGCTACGTAGTGAGTTCCAGGCCAGCCTGGAATATATAGCAAGACCCTGGCTCAAAAAACCAAGGGCTAGGGTTAGTGGAGTGGCTTAAGTGGTAGAGCACTGCCTAGCAAGCATGAAGCCCTGAGTTCAAACCCCAGTACCAAAAAAAAAAAGGCTATAGGGGCTGAAGGTGTGGCTTAAGCCATAGAGTGCCTGCCTAGCAAGTAAGTGTAAGGCCCTGATTTCAAACTACAGTATCAAACACACATACACACACACACACACAAAACCGAGGATGTAGCTCAGTGGTAGAGTATTTGCCTAGCATGTGTGCAAGGTCCTGGGTTGCATCATGCCAAAAGAGAGAGAAAGAGAAAAGAAAAAAAGGAAAGGAAAGGAAAACCACAGAAAAATTATCTACTTGATATTTGAATTGTTCTACTTTGTAATAAGATTTAGTAGGCAGAATAGTGCACCTCCCAAAAAAATACCCATGCCCTAATCTGCAGAACCTGTGAGCACGCTATGTTGCATGGCAAGGAGCGATTAAGGATGTGAATGGAGTTAAGATTGCTAAGGAACTGATCTTAAAATAGGGAGATTAGCCTGAACTGTTCAGGTGGGACCAGTGTAGTCACTAGGGTACTTATAAGTGGAAGAGAGAAATTGAAGAAGAGACAGTCAGAGGGATGTGATAAGAAGACTCAGCCCAACATTGCTGGCCTTGATCATGGAGGAAGGGGCTGTGAACCAAGGACTATGGGCAGCTTCCAGAAGCCAGAAGGAAACTGATTCTGTCCTAGATACTCCTTAAAGGGACACACATAGGCTGCCCCAGCAGCTCATGCCTTTAAGCCTAGCTACTTGGGAGGTTGAGATCCGGAAGATTGTAGTTCAAGGCCAGCCCAGGAAAAAACTTCATGAGACACCCCCCTCACCCCCTGCCATTTAAACCAATAGCTGGGCATGATGGCAGGCAGTCATCCCAGTGACATCAGGAAGCCTAAAATCTAAAATAGGAGGATCATGGTCCAGGCCAGCCTAGACAAAAAGGGAGACCCTAGCACCAGAATAACCAAAGCAAAAGGGGCTGGAAGGGTGGCTCAAGCAATACCGTGACTGCCTGACAAACGCAAAACCCTGAGTTCATACCCTACCACCACCAAAGCAGGGGTGGGGGAGGTGGAGGGAGAACAGGACACAAGATGGGCTTATACTTCATTTCAGTCCAGTGAGACTTGTGTTAGACTTTGACCTCCAGGACAGTAAGAAAAATAAATGTGTATTATTTAAGCCACAAGTTTGGGGTCATTTGTTATAGCAGCAACAAGAAATTAATACACCACAAGATTCCTGCAAGTAGCAATTACTCATACTGTGTATTAGAGATGATTTGATTGGTAAACATGCTGTGTACACCCAGCTTTTGTTACCTAAAGTCAGAGGTAATGTTATCAGAGATGTCTACTATCATCAGTAGTTACAAGTCCATGCCCTGTATGGACGCTGCAGTCTTTATCCTTTTTCAGGTAAATTGACATGCAAGGTGGATGATAACATCATATTTGTAGCTGGAAAGCAGCCATGGTGGAAGCGTGTACACCAGAGAAATTGGCAAATGCTACAAATCCATACTTGAAGACACTGGTTGTGAGACATTTATCAGCACACCACTGCACATGGTACACTCAGTTTCAGCTGTCTGAATTTCTTTAACAGAGGACATGGAAG